TTCAGCAGTGGGGAGAGCTGAAGGGCCCTGGGGCCAGGGACACAGAGCAGGCATAGTAGGGTGTGGCAGGCTGGGGCCCTGGAGCTAACTGTTACCAGGACTCAGCAGATGGGCTGTGGTGGAGGCTGGAAGTGGCTGTGTGCTGAGCCGGGAGACTGATTTTCCAGTCTTAGGAGGCTGGGCCAAGGGCAGGCATGATGGCCAGAACCTCAGGGGCCGTGGGTGCCTTTGTCTTCTCCCTGGTCCCTGGGCATAGGCAGGGCACGCAGAAATCAATCACCTTAGCTCCTGCTTCCTCCTGGCCAGTCACTACTGTCCTTGACTCTGGACTTGTGTTCGCAGGGCGTGGTGGTTACTAATGACAAAAGCGATGGTAATAGTAACGGTAGACAGTAACTCCACCCTGCCACGAGCCCTGCTCTGAGCGAGGTCTCAAGCGTGACCCACAGGGTCACATTTCAGTTTAACCCCACAAACGTGGGGATCGTCCCCGTCGTCCAGATGCGGAGACTGAGGTTTGTTGGGCAGGGTCGAGCGGCTTGTCTGTGGTCATGCAGTGGGCCAGCGGCAGGGCTGGGAGTCCCGGCTCGGCCACCGCGGTGTCTCAGGCAGGTCTCTTTGCCTCCCAGAACCTCTGGTCCCGCTATGACAAGGGAGGTGGTTTCTGGCTCGGGGTCAATGCCCTCAGGTGTGGGAGGACACCTTGCCCAGGCCTGGGGTGTGGTAGGTGCACCAGGAGAAGAAACACCCACCTGACACCGTCCCTGGGTGTGGTAGGGGCCTGTGGGACCTGTGTTATAGATCTTTCCTTTCCTTCTTTCTTTCGGCAGCTTTTCTTTCATGGTATTTCATAGGCTTTAGCCATTAGACAAAGTAAATCCATTTTAACTATGATAAACATGTCTCTGTACCACAAAAATATGTCCACATTCATGCTGATAGCTAAATACTTTCAAGTTAGTAGAACGATGGGAAAAAATGGGTCATCCCGTGGGCCTTTCTAATCGCGATCTCATCCGTGGAGGTGGAGCAGAGTGAGAGAATCGGGTTGATCAAGTGGTCAGAGGCCAGGTTCGTGGACCGACCTGGCTGCGGCTCCCACCAGCACCATGTTGGCTCACGGCGTATGTTTAAAATGTGCTTTCACGGGCGTTGAATGACTTGTTCTTTGTGGTCACCCTTTAATGAAGGAAAGGCCTTCCTCACTGTGATGATTATTTCAGAGCCAGGTAAACTGAGGCCCAGGAGGTTATAGGACTGGCCTAAGGTCACACCGCCGAGGAGGCCGGAGCCAGGATGCGAATTGAGGCGCTCTCACAGATTTACCGTACAGCGTCTCCCTTCCTGGGCCTCAGTTTCCCCATCTGTACAACGAGGGGCCGGGATTTGAGTCAGCTCGGCCATACCTCGTAGGGCAGACCAGAGCCTGACGTCGGGCAGGCCCCGCTGGGGTCTCGGCTCTGCTGCCTCCCAGCCCCGTGACCGGGGGGAGTGGGGAACCTCTCTGATCCCCGGTCCCTGCCTCTCAGGGAGGTGTGAGCCTGAGGAGGCACAGTCCTGGCTCTGGGAAGTTTCCGCCCCCGACGTGCCGTTCCCTATCATCGTCTCCATCACGTCGTCTTGGTCATCCCCGCCCTTCGTCACACTGGCCCGTCAGCCACGCATCTCCTGCAGGGCTCCTTGCTCGCCCCCCACCCTCCAGATCTGTCCGCTTCTCACCGTCAGCTACGTCACAGCAGACAGCAGCCCCCTGTTTGCTTGCTGGACCTCCCTGGGGCTGGGCGTGGGGCGTCTGGGGCAGAGGCTGAGGTTCCTGATACAAGGCTTCCTGAGGGTCCCCAGGAGTTACCGCCCTGAGCCTCCTCCCTCAGGCCTGGCCATTCCTAAGCAGCCACACTGGGGGCCTGGGGCCTGCCAGACCACGATCCCCCAAACCCGAGGCGGGCCAGGCCGGAGCCAGCCCGGGTGAAGGGCGGCTTCAAGTCCACCCCACCTTGTGCCCTGACGGAAGAACAACAGAGCAGGACTCTTAAATTCTTTATTAGAGACATTTTTAAAAGGCTTTTAAATATTTTTTCTTCCCCGACACAACCAAATGAAATAATTGCATAATTAGTAATAAATTTGTTCCTCCTTTAGCGTGGGTTTTTTTAAGAGAACGTTAAAAATTTATCATGCTTCCTTCCCCCGACCCCTGCCTTCCACTCGTGCACCCGACTGGTATTAATGCATTTTTGAACCTAAACTCCCTCCTCCTCTTAACTAGACAGGTCATTAATAAAATGTTCTCCAGGAGCCTGAGCTTTTTAAAGTTGTATATCTCCAGATAGATGGCTTGGGTGAGTTGAATACTGCTGCATTAAGTCTCTGTGATAAAATATTTATCCACCATTAGATTTTTTTTTTTTCTTTCGGACTGTTTGTGAAGTGCCTGGCTCTTTCCTCGAGGCGGACGGGGAGGAGGAAGGGCCCCAGAATGAGGTCTGATGATGAAGCCATTTCTCAATTCCGGCCTCTCTTTCAATTTCTCGCTGCCTTCCTTTCGTTTGCCTGTTAGGGGGATGGAGTGAGGGTGGGGGGCGGGTGGCTCTAGGATGCAGGGGCATCAGGAAAGGGTCTCCTGCTGGTCTCCAGGCCCTGGGGACCCTGGGAAAGGAGGCACAGCGTGTGAGATGAGAAATTCGCCGCTGCTCCCTCTCTCGGCTTTATTATTTTTGTGGGTTTATGGCTCGAGTAGAGCTGATCTTAAGACATTAGAGTCTGGGTCCTTTTAATAATCACAACTGTTATTCTGATAGTCTCCATTTACTGATCGTGTGCTATGAGCTAAGAGCTGTGCTCGATTATGTATATATAGTGTATGTATATATATACATATATAATATTTCTCGTAATCATAAAATTGAGCAAGGTAGGTTTGTAATAATCATTGATCAATGAGAGAAGGCGACTTGTCAATTCATACAGCTCGTAAGCGATGTCAGCACCCATGTCCTTTTTCACTTCTCTATGTTTACCATTCATTCATTTATTCACTCATTCACTCATTCACTCATTTACTTACAGCTACTTTCTAAGTCTCTGCCATGAGCCAAGGTACTCGGCCAAGAGCGGGGAATCCGCTTTGAACACACAGATAAACTGCTGCCCTCATGAAGCTCACATTTAGGACACAGTAAGCTTTCATTTGGCAAACGGTAAATAAGCAAAGAGAAAAATCGGGTAGTTACAGACCTTGGCCAGGGCCAGGAAGAGGAGACAGCTGGTGACGGGAGGGACGGAGCCTGAGCCTCTTGCATCTGATTTCCTGAGGGCTGGGAGCACCACTGCGGGACGGAGGCTGTGCTAGGAGCCTGGAGCCTGAACTTTCTGGATTGACACAGGTGTGGGGCAGAGTCCCAGCTCCATGGACACCAGACACTCTGTGATATAGCCCTGGTTGTCAAGTGAGGAACCGGCTTTTTCCAGTCTGGTTTGCACGTCCACACTGAATCAACACTGGGAATATGACTTCGAGTTTGCATCACGTCACCACTGCCTGCTGACAGCTCCGCCTGAGGTCTGATGCGCATCGCGAACAGCACATCTAGCAGAGAACCAGACTTCCACCCCAGCCTGCTCCTCCCCACCTCAGTGGGCGGCGCGGCCACGTACCCAGCTCCTCGAGACAAAAACCTCGGAGCTGGCCTTGATTCCTCGCTCTCTCCCCCTGCTGCAGCCTGTCGACAGGTCTGTCCGTGCTGCTTCAGAGCAGATCGCGAACCCGCTGGCGTCTCATTAGCTCCCTGCCACCGCCGCACGTCAGCCGCCAGCCCCTCTGCCCGTCGGGCTCCTCGCCCCGCTGCCCCTTCCTCCGTCACACGGCAGCTAGAACACTCCTCTGAAATCTGCTCTGTGCTCACCTGCTTAGACCTTCCGGTAGCTCCTTTCTCGTCATGCTCGGAATGAGCAGTCACCGTGCTTACCCTGACCCGGCTGCTCTTCTGACCTCCCTTCCAGGCACCTCGGGTTTGCCCCGTCCTTGAGCTGTACTGAGCTCGTCCTTGTCACAGGGCCTTTGTACGTGCCGTCTCCTGCGCTTTTGCTCAGGTCTCGGCGTAGCTCCTCCTCCTCGTCGTCCGGACCTGTCATCCTGATACCCGCCTCCCCATCCTTCCTGGAAGAGAGTGTGGCGGGAAGACCCAGGAACCCTCCCGCCCACTCTTTGCCCCTCCCCCACTGGACTCCTCCGCCTACTATTTATGCCTCTGCTTGTTTCCATTTCCTCCTTCCTCTCTCCAGGGCAGCGCTCACATCGTAGCCACTATGAAAATTAAATGAAATTAGATATTTAGTCCCTCTGTCCCACTAGCCACTTGTGCTCAATGGCTACCTGATTGGACAGCGTGGTACAAAACGTGAGCATCATGCCAGAAAGTTCTGGAGTGTTTGCTCTTCAAGAGCAGAACTTCGTGTGTGTGGGTCCCACTGTGCTTCCACCACCGAGCACACAGTCCTGCACATAGTAGGTACGCAGGGACGTCCTGTGGTGCCGAGCGAATGGCTCGGTGTGGTACAGCACACTGCACTAGACAAGCCTGTGTGAGCCCCAGGATGGAAACCCCGCTACCGGATGACTATGGAGCCCCCCACTTCTCCTCTGGGACTGCTCTGCAGAGGAAGCACAGACACCTACGTGTGTGGACCCGAAGCGTTTTACACAAGAGCAGAGAGGCAACAGAAGCACCAGGTCATAATAAGCAGCGGACCTGAGGTCAGCTCCCCCCACTGCACTCACCAGATGGGCAAGCTCTTTGGACCTTAATAACATCCTCATCTAGAAAATGGGCATGGCATCTGTGTCTTGCATGCCTCTCAGCTGTCACAAGGCTCACATCAGACCAGGGCGCGTACGTGAGTGTTTTAGACACTCCCAAGCAGTATTTCTCCGAGTGCAGTCCCTGGACCAGCAGCATCGATGCCACCTGGGAACTTGCTAGAAATGCGGTTCGAGGCCTCGCCCCTGGGGGTCGGCCCCTCGGTCGCGAGCCCCCCAGTGGCGCTGACACATGCCCGGACCGAGGACCACTTCTCGCAGCGTCATTTCACGTCTCGCATGGCGTTGGCATTGCCGTGACGTGTGGCATGGACTGAATTTCCTTTGAGGGGAAGATAAGCCCCTTTTCGTGGGGCAGAAGGATTCAAGCAAGAAGCGAGACAGCCGTCTGGAAAGGCTGGAGTCCACTCCCGGCCTCTCCCTCAGGCCCACTCCCACTGACCGGAACCGTGAGCGAGGGGACAACGTTGATGGCAGAAAGCGCACGCCTGCGCGCCGCGTGCCAGCCCTGGCTTTCGTGTTCCGTAGTCATTGATTCATTCTGTTCTCAGGATAAGGCTATGCACTGTCATTATTGTCCCCTCTTGCAAGTGAGGAAACCACGGTACAGAGAGGTTTAGGGGCTGGCCCTGGATCACGTAGCCAGGAAGTGGCAGAGCTGGGGTTTGGACTCAGAGCCTGGCCCCGGGGCCCTGCTCTTGGCCACTGTGCCGTGCAGCCCGCACTGTGCTTCCTCCCTGCGAAGAGCAGAGCGACCTTCCCTGCTATCGCCGTTTGGCTAAGATGAGGACACGGCACCCAGGGGATAGCCAAGAAGGACTAATCCGAACTGATCTCAAAACCATGTTAGTTCCTGGCACTGAGCTGTCCATGTCACTGTCAGGCCCAGGGACGGCAGGGCGTGCTGCGCATTTGCTGGAGGAAGGGCCCGGGCAAAATATCAAGCCTGGCTGGAAGCCGAGGGGCTGTGACAGACCGCCAGCTTGCCCTGTGTCTCACATCCACCCTGGCCCTCCCCACGCGTCCTTTCTACACCGACATCCTGTTCACCTTCAAACCCACGCCTTCCTGGGCCTCCCCGGCTTTACTTCTCAGCTGGCCAGTTGTGACCCTGGCATGGGCCACGCTGCCTGGGCCTGCCTTTTGTGCCAGATAACCTAGCCACAGCTCCACGTTACACAGGAGAAAACTGAGGCTGGGTGTGGGGAGCCCTCAGCTTGGGGATCCAGGGGCCAGACTCCAGCCACGGCAGCCTCCCAGGCCCCAGGTCTTTGGCACAGCCCTGTCCAGCTCCTTGCTTGTCCCACGAGAGGAGCCAGACTGTGCCATTTCCTCAATTTGATATGACCCCCAGAGTCTGTTGGGCTGTCCCCCAAGGAGATTGCACTGCTCATGCTGGCCCCTCTCTCTGCAGGCCAGAAACACCTGTGCATCACCAGCCTCCTGATCTGCCAGGGTCTGCTCTGGGTGGGCACTGACCAGGGTGTCATCGTCCTGCTGCCTGTGCCTCGGCTGGAAGGCATCCCCAAGATCACAGGTGAGGTTCTGGGAGTCAGTCTTGGCGAGGCCCAGGAGCCAGCTGCAGATGGTCAGGGGTAGGGGAGAGCTGGTGAATCTTGTGATGTGTGGGGTGTCCGTTCTCCAAGGTTCTCTGTCATCACAGGCAACACTGTGGCACGATACAAATAAATCACCCCAGGCCCACGGTCTCCCACCTCTTCGCTGAGTCTCCGTTTCCCAGCCTGGCACATGGGCACAGTCGTGCCTATTGGCCAGGTGGTTTGAGGACTGGCTGAGACACATGACTAACGGCAGAGGCTCTGCTGGCCTCTTCTGCTCCCTCCCCACAGCTGCTTCAAAATGTCCGGGCTCCAGAGATAGAATTAACCGAGGGCTCCTGGGGATGAGGTCCACGTGCAGATGTGTGTGCGTGGATTCAAGAAGGTCAGCCCTGACCTGACCTGTAGCACTGGGGCACAGGAGAATAAGGGAGGGTCAAGGAGAACCCCAGAGCCCTGGGCCTCTCTTTGCCTCCTTCAGCTGCTGCCAGAGAGCAGGGGTGAGTAGGGGGTGGGCCAGGCCTGGCTGGATCTTGAGCTAAAGATAAAGAATCTCTCTTCCTAAATTCTGGGATTTCCTATGTTCATCACGTAGGTCATGTTCATCTCAGGCTTGGTCCTGGGGTTGCAGGGATGTATCAGGCAGAGACTCTGCCCCCAAAGAGATGACAGTTTGGTGGGGCAGCCGTAGTCCGGGGTGGCAGCTGCTAAGATGGCAGGTGTCGGGGAATGCGGGCACTGAGACAGGGCGATCAGCTCTCCATGGGTGAATTCAAGAAGGATGCACTGGAGGAGCTCAAAATGGATTTTAGGATGAGTTGTAGAGTCAGGTGGACGGAAAAGGCTCTCTAGGTGGAGGCTATGTCCCCGGCAAAGGCACCGAGACGTGAAGGTGGCTCAGGCAGGGAGCTGCAGGTGCTTTCACACTGAGGGTCCCTCAAGTGGTTTATCAGGTCACTCCTGTTCTGCTCCCCGTCCCCAAAGAAAGTAGCCCTGGAGCGTGGGAAAGCCCCCCCCGAGACCTGGGGCCTTTTGGAACGGTTCCAACGTAGATTGCGGTTACAACATAGAAACAAAAACAACCAGAAAGTTCTCGCAGAGACATGTCCAGGTGCCTTGTTTAAAGCTCTGGGCCTTTGGGCTCCTTCTCTCTGTCTCATTTCTGCAGGGAAAGGCATGGTCTCCCTCAATGGTCACTGCGGGCCTGTGGCCTTCCTGGCTGTGGCCACCAGCATCTTGGCCCTCGATATCCTGCGGAGTGACACAGAGGAGGCCGAGGGCCCCAGGGCCGAGGAAGACAAGCCAGACGGGCAGGCTCACGAGCCAGTACCCGCACCGTCGAGCCACGTGGGCCGCGAGCTGATTCGCAAGAAGGGCATCCTCCTGCAGTACCGCCTGCGCTCCACGGCCCACCTGCCGGGCCCGCTGCTCTCCATGCGGGAGCCGGTGCCCACCGACGGCTCAGCCCTGGAGCACAGCGAGGAGGACGGCTCCATCTACGAGATGGCCGATGACCCCGATGTCTGGGTGCGCAGCCGGCCCTGTGCTCGGGACGCCCACCGCAAGGAGATCTGCTCGGTGGCCATCATCTCCGGCGGGCAGGGCTACCGCAGCTTCGGCAGTGCCTCGGGTGGCAGAGGGCGGCCAGCACCCTCTGGGGAGACGGACAGCACCCTCCTCATCTGGCAGGTGCCGTTGACACTATAGCCCCTAGCCAGGGTGCACGGCGGTAGCTGTGCTGGGCTCTCGGCCTGCTGTGGGCCCTTCTCGCCATCTGGGGTCCCCCAGGGAACACTGGGTGGATTTGCCCTCCAGGAGTCTTCGCGGGGCCATGCGGACGGGTCTGGATCTCCAGGAACTATGTGACAGAGCAGAGGAAAGCCTCTTCCTTTAAAAAAAAAAATTCAGAGTGTTGTTGGGGGAGGGGTTTGAGTTTGGGGAGAGGGAGGACACCTCTAGAGGCAATGGCCTTTAAAAAAAAACAAACAAATGCAAAACCTCATAGCTGCCTGGCAAGCCCAGCGCCTCTGGTTCCGGCCAAGTGGGGCTCCGAGGCGGCCACCCGCCGCCCCCTGGGAAGGGGGTGCAGTGTGTGTGTATGAGAGCGTGTGGGATGGTGTGTGAATATATATAAATACGTATATATGGTGTATATTATCTGTGTATAAAGTCTGTACATATTGGAGCTCTGGGAGATTCTGAAATAAAAGGCAAGAATAACTTCAGTATTTAGATTGAGGACTTTTCTTTCCGAGATGCGATAGGGGAGGAGACGGAGCAGCTGTCACCAGATAAGGACTGATTGTTCTGGAGCCAGGAGCGACCCTGCCCTCAGCAGG